GGGACGGCATCAAAAATAAGTTTACCGTTTGCACGCGTGCGAACGCCAGGAACGCATTCTTTTGTTCGAGCCACCTCAGATGGCATGCAAGGGAACGGGCCCCCCGTTCCCTTGCGTTCCTTGACAACAAAAGGCCCGTCACGGTCTCTGCACACAGCAAGACGTCTAGGGGGGCAATAGTGGCACAAAACGTATCCGGAGAATGGTATACGCTTACTGACACTTGTCCATTGGTGTGAAATAAAATTCTTGGCAAACACCGAACAGCGGGATAGTGAAAGGTTTGGCCAATATTCTAGGTAGCACATTCCTTTTAATTCTCAGAAGCAAAACACTGTCGGTTGAGCACAAAATGATCAGGGCCTCTTATTAACAAAAAGATACACACTGTATAGAGTTATGGAATACAAACACCCGCTGGGTCTTAGGTGGAGGGATTGCGATCGCCCATTATTTTATTCGGCATATGAGGCCTGCCTAGCCAACTTTTAGTTAACAAGTTAACACTAGTTGAAGTTAACACTTCTGACGTCAGATTAGAATTGGGTAGGATTATTGCCCGGCCGATGGAATTCTTTTTTCAGTGCCTCTATCAGACAGCATAAACAGCGTTTTTAACAAAAAATCCTCAACAGTTTCTGAAGACAGACAGCCGAGATAATGTAATGTGTTCCGCGGGAGACAATGAGACTAATTTATTCTTTTTAGTGGTAACGTCTTTTCTTTCTTCAGAAAAGATGAGATTTTTGTGGAAGAGGTTGTTTATAAATTTCGAGGCCTGGAAAATGTGTACTTGTATGTTAGTTTCAATAAATGTCAAGAAAAGGAGGTGAAGGAACATTATTCAATTTATCCAGGGCTGTACAACTAAAGGCAGTTATGGGCTCAGCGCTAAAAAACAAAAGCCTGGCTAGCGGCCATGCAGTGTACAAGACAGCGTGCCCCGGCAGAAGGCCCAGGATTTTCCATGGCAATACTGTTTCTTGGCAACAGTGGCATAACTCTGGGATTGCACAAGTATAACAATCCTACCAATGGCTGCTTTGCTTGCAAAGAATCAACTTGTTAATTGGCCTAGGACTTATGATAAAAAAAATGTGCCCAGCAAGTCTTGGGGCGAAAGCGGTGTCTTCAAATACAGGTGACCCAGACCCAAATTCTTAAAAATATACATTGTGTCTGACGGAACAATAGAGCTGTCAATCAATCCTGGGGAGATTTCTTTTTCGACAGAGCTGGGGTGGATTTATTCTCGAATTTTTTTCATCGGGACTTGCGGAGCCACTTGAAAATAATCATTTCTTCCCACGTATTTTCTATGTATTGGCGTAAGCAGAATTTGAGTTGTCAAGAGTTCTATGATTTAACTGGGTGCTGAAGTGTTAGGAAATGTAAAGATACTTCTGCAGCATCATTTGAAAATAAAAATTCACCCAGACGGTGTTAAATAAACTTTGTGAAAACTCAAACAATTACTTCCATTTCCATGTACACGTACATTTAGGAATTAAAGGTCGAATTTTACGTTGAATTTGCTAAACCCTTAGTAATATTTCAATTTGCCGTTTAAACGTTTGCCAACACAAACAATAAAAGCAACCCCATGTCGGCTCTGTTTCAGCCTAACAAATGAGTTTTTAATGCAGGTGTA